CAACAGATGGTGTCTCTTCTTTAAAAGGTAATGAGTGAACGAAGTGGAAACCGTATGTTCTGAAATGCTTACAAAATTTGAAAAGTATGATATGTGATGGAAATTTCCAATACTTGATGGAAATCCAAGGTGATATATTTAACCAACACTTCATTATGAAATTTTCACTACACAGTAAGTTTTCATGAACACACTCCGGTTTGTATACTGTATAATAAAAATAACACAATAAAATGTATTTTCTTTCGTGTGATTCAAAGTTTATATGGAAGTAGTTCTTTAGAGAGGGCTTTTTCTTCCAGTTTGTGAAAGTTACTCCCATCGCATGATCTATACATATTTGTAAAGAGTTTATTTTGAAACCAATTGCTTTCTTCCTTTTTTTGAAAGATTCTCACATTTTTTTGTATGAAGATGGAGAAATAGAAAGTCGAAACATTTCCCTCCCAAAAACTATTATCTACTAAAATTATACCACTTTCAATTCAAACAAGATTCTAATGAATGAGCGAATGAATGTCATTGCGTACTGTTATCGATGACATGAGTAGATTTACCATAAGGTCGTAATTTCATGAATGAATTGAGTGATCAATCTTGTTATTCAGAATACTAAAGAGGCAATACGGCACATGTGTTCCGAAACATCGGATGTCCACTATTGAGAATGACAGTGTTCTATGTAAGTGAAATTTTATACCTTTCATATACTATATATTGTGTAGCAATCCTGTGAATATCTGATTTGATTCTGGATAATAATTAGCATTGTAACATTGAAATTATTACGGGTACGAAGCTGACTTGGAAAAAAATAACCACGAACATAATGAAAAAAATCAAAATTATTATTTCGTTCAAATTGATTTTGTTCATTTATTTTCAAACTTTGGTCACTTTCAAAAACATTTTTTTAAGGAAAATGACAATGACTACTTTCAATGTAACATTCATTTCAAGTACTGAACTTTGTAGTTTGTGTTTCAAATATTTCTCAAGGTCCGCAAATAATAGTTGTGAAAAGTTTTTGATATTTATAAACTATGGAAAATATTTTTGGATGATCAGCGGAATGGAAGTGTACTCTTATAACACAAGTTATTCCAATATTTCGATAAAATTTATTATCATCTTCTGGTTTTTCATAAATTTAATACATAACATTTTAAATATTTCCTTTTTCAATAGACTTCCAACCTCCCTATGACAGGGCTTTACCTTATTTAACATATTTGATTTTTGGGTTTTCTCATTAAGTTACTTACAGAACAGCAGAGGTCTCTGATCACACTTGTACCATAATAGTTCTCTTTTGTTCCATAGTTTTATCATCGACAAACAAACACACCTTTTCAAACTGAATTACATGGCAGATGTCATCGTCAATTGTTTTTGTCTCTCTCTTTGTTCTTCAATCACATGGCTTTTACCGGTAAACTATAATTTTAAAACAAATAACGTTTTTTTAGTAAATTTTAATTCAATATGCTTCTTTCTGTCTAGTGAGGAGTCAACCTCTTACAATGTAGTGACTTGTTCATTGTATTGACATGCTTCAATTGTAAGCATATAGTAAGCATTATCGTTGTTAATGAAATATTTATCTTTAGGTTTTATGCAAAATTTTCCTGCAAATGAAATTTTTTTCGAATTTTCTGAACTGAAGATTTCCTTCAGGCTATTCTGACTATTCAACTATTGAACCTCCCTGAACATATCACAACTTTCCAGAATCTATGTCTATGGTTTGCCACTTTCTTGAGTGCTATGTCCGATATTAATTGTTTGTCAATTTAGTTAGTTGAAACATTGACACGCGATATGTTAAACAGGTTCACGGTACGAGCAATATAACTTTCAATAATTAGAATTGTTTATGAAATATCTACAGGACGTGACATAACGTGGTATATGAATGATACTTTAATTTTCACACTTTACTGTTATAGTACGGTATAATATTCGACTCGCATCGAGGCCAAAGGACTTGGTGAAATGAATATGTTTTGTTTTATTTTCCTGAGGCGAAAAACTGAAGATGTCTATTTAACCGAGTGATTTGACACTTCAGCAAATCAAATAGCCAAAATCAATCTATGAAGAAGAAAGCATTAGTTATGTGAGCTTTTCTTGTTACTCACATTTTCGAACCAATCAGTTGAAGAGATGCATAACTCACTACCTTAGATACCAATCACTGATGAAAAATTTCAATACTATACTATACAAGTGTATCTGAATTATTTTCATTCTTCAAAATATGTTCTCAGACGTTAAAATTTATTCATAGAAATGAGAATTGGTTTTAAAATATATAGATTTCAAATGAAACAAAAAGACCATCATAAATTTGTTAAATGGCAAAAAAATGTATATTTTACAAAAGAGTTCGTCACTTAATGATAAAATGAGAATAGTTAGAAATGAAATTCAATGATATTCCACTCTTTCGGAATATCCTTCATAAATGAATCCTATTTTGAAATAGTTCTTTTATACGTCATAGAAAAAGTATAGTATTCTATTAGCAGAAAATGGTTACATTATTTCTCGTTGAATAATATACTATTTCCTAACACTGAAATTAATTATAGAGGAGACGGGATCGCAAAGGGCAAAGGGAGCTTTTTTCATTTCTGAACACTACGTGTTTTTAATAGCAAACGTTTTCATTTTGCCCAAAAATGTAGGTATTTTCATATTATTATTATTGGGGTTTGCCTGAAATCTGTTGAGATAAGTAAATAGTTTCATTCCTCACACCAAAATAGTTGTAGTTGTCTGGTATTTCCGGAATTTGTAAAGAAAAATGGACTGAACCACGTAGAAATACATAATGCGACATAACTCTGCCTGTCGAAGGTAGCAATTTATATTGCATTCGAATCACTGTAAATTATATTCATTTGGATATACTGCCCCGAATAATCATTTTACAAAAACGACATCCTCCAAATGAGACAGTTCTTGAAAAGTGTAACGCAAGGTGTGCTAAATTTTGCCTCTGTAAGAAACAAGTAGACTGAATCAGAACAACCCTGCATATCAATGACCGTGCGCTGATTTTTTTTTCAAATTCTATTGAAAATGCTGAAAACATCTAATAACTGACAATTCAGAAAAATTCAATGAAATTCAAAATATTCCATTTACAATAATTCATTACTTTTGATTACCAAATTCATTTCGTAATAAGTACCTATAATCAAGGTAGTCAATTTTAATTTTCCTACATTTTCACTGGAAAGGATATAATTATAGACATGCCGTGTTTATTTGTACCTCATTAAACTCCATTTATTCCAATCAAAAACAAAACATTTATCAAGATGATTATAATACACTTGATCTTCGGTCATAAATAATGAAATCTAAAGTAACACGTTGTCAAATGGTATATCTCAAATGACGTAAAAAGGTCAAAAAATTATTCGTAGGACCAATTTTTGTCAGATTCATCAGACAACCTGGTTGGTGAAACACACGTAGAGAAGACAGTTGAAGTTCTGAGCTATGTAGACGCAGTTTTTGGGTTGGATTCCTTTTTCGATTTATAAGACAATCTATTAAGAAATATTTGGGAGTCATTTTTGTCCACAGTTGCGAAATCGTGTTACTTGTCTTCGAACTGAATGAGAAAAAATGATTCCGAAATCTAAAGTAATTGTTCCGGATTGATTTTTGTTTTCAGTTTTTATCGGTATAGTTGCGAGTTTCTATCAGTATATTCAATTAATTCTTCCTTCTTCTCTCTTCATATATTACTAGAGAAATATGAGATGATGTTTATACAATTACTCTAATCTATAATACTATACTTGTTGAAGTCTGCTTCGAATTGAGTATTTTGTTTCACTGCAAGAAAATTATTGAATGTACAAAAATGTTCATATAATATATCTCTCACATCAGCTATAATATTTGTATTTTATGGTTGAAGAAAGTCTTTCGTCCTGAAAATTTCTCAACAGAAATATTTACATAGAAGCAATCTGTATTTCAAGAAATTATGTTCAACATTTTTTTGACAAAATGTAATAATACTATATTTTTGTACTTATACTACGATCTAATAGAGTCCTCAGAATGGACCACAACTCCTTCATTTAGCGAAATGCACCCATGATTGCTTTGAAAGAAAATTATTTTTGAAAAATTATGTCACCAGTCCGTTGTTGTTCACAATTTCCTTCAGATCAAGTATATGATGAAAAAACAAGTTGTACCATTATAACTGAATAGAGTAAAAAACCCAACTGATTTAAAAAAACGGAACCAGTTTTTCTGGCTCATTTCAGAAAAATATTTTATCCCAATATAACCAAAATGAAAGAAAAAATGACAAGCACAATACTTACCCATCAATGATAAAAATTGTATTGATAAATCTTAAAAAAAAATATGTTTTCCTAACTAATTATTTCGTTCAGGAAAGATAAAAAACATTTGTGTCAATCATCTCAGTTAGGAGAATAGCAAAAATTACCAAATAGCGTTCATCTGATCTCATTGAGTGTTATAATTCTATATCATAAAATCGAATCAGTGATTTTTGGAAGACGAATGTAATAAAAGAGCGATTAACTGGAGAGCGATCAAAAAATAATATATCCTAAAAATGAATTGATTTCGATAAAATATTTTAATATGATTATCTTTGAAATATTGACGATGTTTTCGCAAATTCGATTGTTATAAATGATCAACAACGCGTCATTTGTTCTCATATACAGTGGACAAGCCAAGTATTTTTTCGAAAATATCGGAGAATAACGTACAACAAAGAATTCAATACATTTACTGACTGGATGCGGAAATCCATTACCCATTATGACAAAATTGGTTAACACATTTTTTCCTGCTTACATCCCAAAAAAACGTATGTAAACATTTTCCAATTGAAATTTTGCTCATTAACATTTTTCCAATTATTTTATCAAAATACTGATTCAATTAATCAATCGTCAAAAAAAAAGAACGTTCAGAACGCCATTACTAACCTGAATTTCCCTCCAGACATTCCAATTCAAATCTGTAATCCCAACAATCCAAGGAATTCAAGGTTTGCAAACTGTCAGGTTCGTCACTCATCATTACAAAAATTTAACTAAAAAAAGTCCATTCACTTAATCACCAGTCCATTCCCTCGTGACTCTACAACAGTGGAAAAACAGTTCTGATCGCGTGTCACAAAACTCCCTTTCATCGATAGTAACACTGCGAAGGTTGATCCTTGTATCTGCGTTTGTTTTACGGATTCGATACGGTGTTGTATCAAGGTGTGTGTTCACCTGTTGACTGACTGGTGGTCGATCGGCATTCACTAGTATGTTTGTTTCAGTCAGGTGAATATAATAGTGGTAGGGTGTTTTACTACAATGGTACTCCAGAAAGTGATGGAATTGTATCGCAGAATATCGGTGAGCTTCATAGCGACTGGTGGTTTCCTGATTTCTGATCAACTAAAATGTTCCGAAAACCTTAAAAGATTTATGCAAGTTACGGATTAGTGAATTTTATTTGTCGTTTGTGCTTTCACTAATTTCAGAAAAACCCTTAAAATACTTCTATTTACATGTGATGAGATTTGTTGAAATCAAAGTGGTTTGAGTCAGTTTTCCTTTGATCGGCTTCATATAGTTTTCAATGGTAACATTGGAACCTCTGGCGTAAAATAAATTTAAAACAAACACTTTTTCCAAACACTAACTCAGTTGGTAAAACATGCGCCGAGCAGTTGATTGCTGTTGCGGTGTTTGGAAAAGTGCTTGTTTTGAATTTACTAAATGATATTGATAATACATCAATAATAATCCGTAACATTCGGACTTGTTCATTTCTTCCTAGTCACTTATTGAGTTGAGCTGTCTCTGTCCCTTTGTTGCATTGCCTGCAGAAAGGGTTCCGTTGTACCGGTGTCCTGTCAATGGACAGTGCCTAGTTTGTAGCCCTGTGATTGTTGTGAGCGGATTCCTGCTTTTGGGTTTGTCAATGCTCCAAGTGTGAAAAGATTGATTCGCTCATTTCGTTCAAATCATTTTGAGCCTTGCAAGATTGCATACCTGGAAGACTGATGTATGCTGACCGGGTGGGTAACTGAAATGAAGATTTCCTCCCGCATAGTAAACTCCAGCTCCCTTTCCATGTTTGGTTTTCGCCCCGTCTGTATACCAGGTGATTCTGCCAAGTATGTTCTCAGGAATACTGTTCAATTTCCACTCTTCGCGGTTCAAAACTTCAACTTGGTGTCATATGGTCCAAGAACATGTTTGATTTTCGCTCCTCGACATATTCCTAAAGTTTTTGTTTTGCCCGATCCCATACCCCTTGTTGCTTCCCCCTTTATTACCAGATATAAAGGAGAAAGATTCAAGAGCATCTCCATGCAGCTGTTAAAGTGGTTTTTATTGTTCTCATTATTCCCAAACATGCAAGTTATTGCACCATGCTTAGTTTGTAAAGTGCGGTCGTTTATTCATCTTCGGTCACAAAACCATAGATGCATATGTTATCATGGCTTCAACCAAAATGTTGTGAATCCAATACATCGTGCCTAATTTTAGCCTCCATATCTTTCCGTATGTGCGCCTGGTCAGCATCGGTGCTACCTCCGCCATTCTTTCAACTCTTTCTAGATGTTGGTTCCATGTCAACCTGGGATCTATTATGACTCCCACATATTAAAATTCCTCCAACAGATTTATATTTTCATCTTGAGGTTTTAGACGTCCTAGGTCTTCTGTTTTGGTCCTCTTGGTAAATGCTACTCTGGTCGATTTCGTTATGCTCATGTTCAACCCTTCTCCATTGGTAAATTTATGCTAAAATTTGGAATATAGGTGCTTCTTAGGTCTCAGATGCGCACTAAGAGAGGATTTTCAGATATTACAACTGGAGCGCCCCCTCGTGGGGGTTAAAGGGGCGCGTTTACATATGAAAATATAGCGTACCGCTATATTTTCGAAGGCTGAAATTCTGTGTGGATTGGTTTTATGTTGTATATGTGCAATAAGAAAGAATTTTTAATATCCAAACTGTTCCCCTATCCCCCTGGGGATGAAAGGAAATCGTTAACATATGAAAATCACCTTTTCATCACTGTTTCTCCTTACCGCTACCATACCGTACTCATGACATGTAACTTGAGACTAGCTGAATGAATATACCCTAAGGAGAATTTTGAGCATAAGAGTATTAATTAATGTTCCAAATGAGTTAACTGTACTTAGCTCATTTTAGAATTATGCAATAGGTGACAAAGCCAAGTTTGGAATTCAAACGAGCACTGTATAATTGATGAAGTAAACAACAAATGTCATTCGGCAGATAAAATAACAGAACCAATTTCAATTGAGCAAAATTTATAAAAAGTATAATAGAGAGCCAATTCTATAGTTTTCTAATATTTTTCATTTACATATATTTCACAAGTAAAAAACTGAGTTAATCAATATTATTTAAAAAATGAAGATGATAACGATGTAGATTTGTAGATAACGTACTTAAAGCTGAAAATCCTCATAAATCTACGGTATTGATCAGATAAAACAATAATAAAATCGTTGGGCCTAGTGTAACATAGCGTAAATATGTAAATACTTCGCCCAACGATATAATTTTTTTCATCTGATCAATACCGTAGATTGCTAATGAGAATGGTGTGATGACTGCTACCTAGGACCTTTGGAATTATTTTTTAGTTTTGAGTACATTATCTACATCATTATTACCTTTTTTTTAACCGTTTGACATAAAATTTTTGTTTTACTCATATTATATTCAAGTTTTTAGATTCCAATTTTGTTACCTAATTCTTCTCATTCTGTTTAATTCATTTAGTGCCTCACTCAGTATTACAAGCTATTTCCCTACAATTTGTTGCAATCTAGCTCCTTAATACATTTCGTAGCCGCGGCCATCTTGAATTTGCAGCTTTTTTAAAGTGTACCTACTAGTATTCTAATTAGGAGACAATTCCATAGTTACCTAATATTTTATCATTTATTCAAAACAACGATAAAAATAAAATAAAAACAACAATAAAAATTAATTATCGCTCCGGGCGACTTCATTGATTCCAGTGGCGCATTTGCTTTTTCAGCTGCAGGAAAACCCGGAAAAACCTGCAGCACCACATCATCTGAAGATCTTGATCTAACAATAAAACAAAATGTAGGGTGTCTCCAGAGGCTCCAATAAATTCAATTGATCACCAGAACACTTCTATTTTTAATTTACCAAAGTTGGTAGAAAAACTTATTTTACAAGTGAAAGTGCCTAAGCTGTGTCGATAGATGTAGGCTAGGTAAGTTAATACTATAAAAACGTAATTTATTGCAGACTAAGGCGAACAGTTCGCATTTTTTTACTTGGCTATGACTTCGAATTATGACAGTTACTTTCATAATAATGTCAGTCTTAGTCAACATGAAAACAATAGTGTACATTGTTTTCAGTTAAATTTTTAATTCATTTTTGTGTGAGAACTGTTTGAAAGTCGAAACTCCAACGGCATTGTTTTCAAAAAGGAAAAAGTGTTGCTACGCAACACATTACGGTATCGGGTATCGTAATGTTCGATTTCCTGGCCGCAAATGAAAGGATAAGTTGATTTACTGGATAGAATAAAATAAAAATCATTTTTTACTAAACCCGACTCACTTTAAGTAGTTATTTAAATATATCAATGCTTCATGTGAAAAAGTAAACGCTGAAATACCTCATACGATTTGTAATCATGATATTCTGACTTAGAATGTCAGAGAATATTATATCTCACCAGAAAAGATTCTTGTAAAATTAAGTAAATGAGTAAAAATAAGTACTAACCTAACAGAATGTTATCGATGAAAAAAAATAAAATTCTGAATAAGTTGAAAATTTTGTATAAGAATAGAACTTGTTGCGGCAATTGATTCGATGTCCATAGCATGTTATCGGGACGTTTTCACTGTCAGAAATGATTGCGTGACAAAATAATTTTTCCGACATTTTTTTACCGCTACAGAGTGGCTTTAAAAACAATTAAAATTTCCAAGCGAAGCTGGAAATCGGAATTATACTAAACTTTCTATACAATCAATACAATAATCACTGAATATATGCTAAACATACCTGTGAAATTTTGGGAAAACCACAAATCATATTTTTCATTCCAATATTCATTAAATTCCTTAGATGGTGTGTGTTCGTATTCCATTTTCTATTAGAAGTAATAACACTATTACAGAAAATCCATTCAGTAGGTCATCACCACTTTATTGCAAGAGATTCACAAGGAACAACAGAAAATCACAATTTGAAGTAATGCAAAGTCGTACTGCAGTAACTGCTGTACTGTTGACTCGTATGATTGTGCCTCAACTGTTCGATCATCCTCTCTATAGTTAAAGCTATTAAGTCACAGGTAAATATGACAATCCTAGGTACTCTTAATAGCAATGTGACTTCTTAGAATTGTTTAATCGCTTTTCTTAATGTCTTATAACATTGCCTAAGCAAAATCTTCAGGGATTTGGGATTTATGAAATTTATTGACCAGAGAAGTACTGATAATGATTATTGTCTACACAGAAATGACGAAATGTAATTATACTGATTATAAAAACAGTCATGTTATATTTCAAATTGCAAACTTTATCAATTATCATAACCGAATTTCATTCTTCAATAACTTTGTATTTTGTCATCTTGAAAGTTGTCTCATAAGCTATATATGGTAGGGTGTACGCGACTATTAAAATCTGAGGTCAAAGGTCACCAAAATCGATATTTTGCACATATTTGCAAATATCTTGTTTTGTATGGGGTGTTTCCTATTTGTATTGATGATCAATATTGCAGAGTATTAAATTCCCTACAACTTTTCTCTATGGTGTGTTTTTGGCTGGAACTACCGGTTGACCATAAATGATGCTCTAACTGCACGCTCTCCGTTTTCTGTCTCGGAAATCAACGTATAAAAAAAAATTTGACAGAATATTCGCGCGCACCCTACCATATTTTGAGGCAACTTTTAGGATATCAAAACACAAGTTCATACGAGTTTATGTTCATCTCGAATTCCGAGGTGAATTTACTAAGATGACTGAACTATTCTTGATTTTATTTCTGAAGTTCAAAAGTTAAATTATGAAAATATATGTTAGGATTTACAGTTGACTCTAGTTTTCATCAAATTCTGTTGCAATTATTCCACAGTATATAACAGAGTATTTCCTGCAAATGAATAAATAATTGTTAATGAGATCAAGTGATATGTGAAAGAAGGTAACTTTGTGGTGACCCAAAAATAAAATATTTTTATTACACGAGTGATT